TGGGGTTTAGGGTTTAGGGTTTGGGGTTTAGGGTTTGGGGTTTAGGGTTTGGGGTTTGGGTTCAGGATTTGGGGTTTAGGGTTTGGGGTTTAGGGTTTAGGGTTTAGGGTTTGGGGTTTGGGTTTAGGGTTTCGGGTTTGGGTTTGGGGTTTGGGGTTTAGGGTTTGGGGTTTAGGGTTTGGGGTTTGGGTTTAGGGTTTGGGGTTTAGGGTTTGGGGTATGGGGTTTGCGGTTTGGGGTTTGGAGGCTAGGGTTTAGTGTCTAGGGTTTAGGGTTTGGGGGATGGGCCTAAAGCGTTGGGACTTGGAAGACAGGGTGTGAGGGTTTGAGGGTTTAGGGTTTAGAGGAGTGGTTTGGGGGACTAGGGTTTGCGGTTTGGGGCGTAGTAGGGTTTAGGGTTTAGGGTTTACAGTCTGGGGCCTTCGCTTCAGGGTTTAGGGTTTAGGGTTTAGGGTTTGTTGCTTGTCTCGCCTGTCTTCAGCTCGACGGCGCCATGGAAATCGGAGAAAATGGCCGCTGTAAGATTAAGGGTTTAGGGTTTAGGGTTTAGGGTTTAGGGTTTAGGGTTTGTGCTGATCTGCTTCTTGTCAAGGTCCAACGCCATAAGACTCAGACCTCGTGCGAACGCGCTCGTCTCGGGCCTTGGCCTTAGGGCCCACGGCCTAGGGTTTAGGGTTTAGGGTTTAGGGTTTGTGCGCAGTCAAGCGTCCCAAGTGGCCCAAACGCCTCGAAATTTGCCAAAGACAAAACTTCGAAGAAAATTATTTTTATTGTTGTCTTTATGAAGGCAGCAAAAGGTGGCAGCACTTTATGCTGTTTTGCGTTGTTGCTTTCGTCCTGGTACGCGGCTAGGGTTTAGGGTTTAGGGTTTAGGGTTTAGGGTTAGGGTTTAGGGTTTAGGGTTCAGGAGTTAGGTTCATGCTTTTCTGCGTTGTGGCTTTCGTCCTGGTGCGCGGCTAGGGTTTAGGGTTTAGGGTTTAGGGTTTAGGGGTTAGGGGCTAGGGTTTAGGGTTTAGGGTTTAGGGCTGGGGTAACGGGTGTAGAGTTAGGGTTTGGGGTGCAGGGCTTAGGGCAACGGGCGTCGCTTGGCAAACCCTAAACCCTAAACCCTAAACCCTAGGGTTTTGTTTTATGCTGCAGTGCATCTGCATGTTTCCTGCGTGGCCGCTGAAGCTGAAGATTGGGGTTTGGTACATAGCGGTTGTATTCCTGACGATACTGGTGAGCTAGGGTTTAGGGTTTAGGGTTTAGGGTTTGTTATTTTCGCATCCGCGTGGGCGCATGCTTTGTTTCAGGGTTTCGTGAGGGTTTAGGGTTTTTGGTGCGCGGGCGTGCCTGCGTGGGCGCGCAGCGCCCGGGCCAGAACCA